TACCTCGGGCAAAGTTGATCAGCACAGCCATCTCCAGCTGGGGCTCAATGGCTTCCTTCAAGGTGAGGATGTCCTGTCGACCGATGTGCGGCGGGGTGACCAAGATCCTGTCCGGCGCAAATTTGAAGTAGCCGTAGCTCGGTGCAGTCCCGCCTGCCGTCACCTGGGTCGCCGACATAGGCGACAATCTGCTTCGTCGTCCTCCGACGTCGCCATGCGAGGAGCCTGCATCCGCCAACGACTGCACCCCTCGCGCCTGAACGCCGCCGACTTCATCGGCGTGTATCACACCTCTCTGCCTCGACGTGCCTCCCGCACTGCTGCCGACTTGGCCACCTCCGGCGTTGACGCCCACATCGGCGCCGCCTTCATTGGTCACCGGTCGAGTAGAAGCCGGTCGGGAAGGGGGATGCTCCAGCCGTCCCTCCAGGGTGTCCATCACCTTGGTGTCTCCTACGCGTACGTTGGGGACTGTACGGCTGCCAGCCTACAAACAACTTAGGTAAGTGACCTCTACATCGTCCTGACTGAAAGGTAAATCGTGTGCTGTCCACGCTCACCGCACCATGCGGAGATAACTGCTGCAACGGGAGCTAGACTACGGGCTAGGCACGGGTGCTCGTGTGATCTCTGCGTTCGTTGGTCCTTAGTCGTTTTCTTGTGTGTTCTCTGCTTGCTAGTTCACAGGGAGAATTGGCAAGAGTTTCACTTGGAAGGATGACAACAATGATTCAATGAAGTTGGCATGGCAAGACTACACCAAAGCTAGCATTCAGGTTGGTCGACAGCCAGCGCAGCATGGTCGACCGCGTTCCAGCACGACTTGGACGACCGCGCTCCAGCAGTGCAAAGTCGACGGCGTGCCAACGTCGCAAGTTGACGGCGTGACAGCGCTGCTCACGCAGAACAGCAGCGCACCCGCTTCGTGGGTGCACGCAGATGATTGGCAGGCTGAGCATCGTCACCTGCACAACCCACACTGTGAAGAAATGAGGAATGAGTGAACAAGCACAAGGTTGGGTACAAGTAGGAAACCCTAGGAAACTGTACCCCATAGTGTCTACCCCACTATAGCCTAGACAAGCTATATGATATAAGTTTGACACACCCCCATAGGCAAATTGGGGGAGAACAAGAGGTCACAAGACCAGTCAAGCAAAGCAAAGCAAGCTCAGGGTGGATCACAACGTCACCACACAATCCGAGCACAAGAACAAGGCCAGTTCACATACAAGATCATATATAAAGGTAAACAGGCAAGTGCAGGTATAGAAAGATCACAGTACAAGCAAGGTCAAGAAGTGAGCAAGTGAGGCCAAGTAGGCACAAGACCTAGCATAGTACAGAAGCGCTGATGATCACCAGGCGGAAGTGCCTTGGTAAAGATATCAGCAGTGTTGGCCTTAGAGGCCACGTAAGCAAGGCGCAGCTGACCACGCTGCTGCAGCTCACGAGCAAGGAAGTAGCGAAGAGCAATGTGCTTCATTCTGTGCTCTAGTCTGTGCTCCCGACACAAGGCCAGCATGGCCTTGTTGTCTACATACAGAACTGGAGGAGAACGAGGCGACTCTCCTAGGTCAGTCAGCAGGTAGGTGAGCCAGCGTAGCTCCTGTGCAGCCATGGCCCCCGCGTAGATCTCAGCCTCACAGCTGGAGCCGAGAACGGAAGACGAGCGGGTAGACCGCCACGAAACAGAGCCGGAACCCAGGCTGAAGGTGTAACCCTGTGACGACCGCTGCGTAGCCTGGTCGTCAGCCCAAGAAGCGTCTGCGTGACCTACGAGGACCACTCGACGTCGCCCTCCAAGAACTAGCCCCATGCCCGACATACTGCACAAGTAGCGCAACACCCTCTTCGCTGCAGCCATGTGCTCTGGTCGGTGTCTCCCAGGAGCAACATAGCGTGCCAGGATGCTAAGAGGGTATGCAAGGTCAGGTCGTGTAAAGGTCATCAGGTACATGAGGCAGCCAACAAGCACTGGGTATGGGCCACTCGGCTCTACGGACTCATCCGAAGGCAGAGCTAAGAGCGAGTTGCGAGTAGACAGAGGAGTGGCCTGAGGCGAGGAGTACGTGAAGTCGAAGCACTGAAGGACCTGCTGCACAATGTGTGACTAAGTCAAATAATGGTGCGCTGTGCTCTGTCCCGGGTGATCTGCAAGCCAAGGTAGCTGTGCAGTTCACCCAGGTCTGTGCACGTGTGTCTCTTCTGCAGCTCGGACTTCACGTGGGCGAGTCCAGCAGTGTTAGCAGTGGCAAAGACCAAGTCGTCGACGTACACGAGGATGTAGAACCGCGGCAAAGAGGTGTCGGTGCGCAGAAACAGCGACGCGTCGGCTGTAGAAGGAGCAAACCCAAGAGCCGCAAGTGTAGTCCTCTGTGTGTTGTGCCACTCACGGGGCGCCTGGCGGAGACCGTAGACTGGCCGCCGGAGGCTCCACTGGGTACCAGGAGGAAACGGCCCAGTGAAGCCACGTGGGCGGCGCAGCTAGATCTCCTCGTGCAGGCTGCCCTGCAGGAAAGCTGTGCTGAAGTCGAGAGAGTGAAGCTCGTAGTCGCGCTGAGCGGCTATGTGCAGCAGCACCCGAAGAGTGGTCATCTTTGGGGTGGGAGAGAAGGTCTGAAAGTAGTCAACTCCATGCCGCTAACTTAAGCCTCGAGCCACGTAACGCGCCTTGAAGACAGGCGGAGAACCCGGCGGCCGCTTCACCCTGAAAATCCACATGCCACTGACGATGTTCGCCCCAGGTGGGGGAACCTCGTCCACGAAGGTGCCTGTGGACTTCCAGGAAGCCATCTCTGCGTCCATGGCTGACTGCCACTGAGAGGAGTAGGGACCCTCGATCGCCTCAGCGTACGATCGAGGAGTCGGGATGTCTGGTGCATCCGGGTCTCCCTCAGGGGCAATCAGCCTGGACATGAGATGAGGCAAAGCAGCAGCAAAACACTGGAACTCCTCCTGCCCGTCCTCAAGGACGTCCGTGCTAACGGCACACTCACCCCCGACGGACGGAGGACACACAGACTCAGACTCAGCAACAAGACTAGCACCGTAGTCTAGACGATAGCGAGCAGCAAAGTCGACAAGCTCAGTAACTAGGGCCGACGCAGCAGCGGACTCAAAGGAAGGGTCAGTGACAACAGTAGCCAGGAGACGCGTGACAGTAGGACTGGCAGCACGAAGAGAGTCAGACTCCGGGCCAGCAAGGAATGGAAGAGAGGACTCTGGAGGAGACGGCAACGGGACACGCAGAGGAGCAGTGGAAGGACGCAGTGCCATCTGGTGTGTGCCTGGGACCGTAGGAGGACGCGGACGCGGAGCACGACGACTAGTGCGAGCAACACGAACAGGCGACGCACGACAAGACGCAGGCTCACGACGCTCAGGAAGACCTCTAGAAGGACCTGTGTAGGGAGAAGGAGCAGGTAGGGGGGATGCGGGCTATAGCTGTGACTGCGGCTGGACAGGCTGTGGACACTCTAAGGGAGGAGCAGGACCAGTAGAGGGCGGGAGACCAAGAACCTGCTGAAGGAGCGGAACGAAGTACGGCCGCGGCCGCGCAGCGCCTCCAGAACCAGCAGGGACAGCACTAGTACCCCCAGCGGCAGCACTAGCGCCAGTAGCACCTCCAGCTCCAACAGTGCCAACTCCTGCACCCTCAGACGCACCAGTGCCAGCAGAACCACCAGCGCCAACACCCCCAGCAGCTCCAGCTGCTCCAGCAGCACCAACTCCACCACGAGCGGCAACTCTAGTACTGCCAGCAGCTCCAGTAGTACCTCCAGCAGGACCAACTCCAGCAGCCCCAGCAGCTCCAGTACCGCCAGTACGAGCACTTTCGGGACCAGCAGCAACAGTAGTACCTCCAGCTCCAGCAGCACGGCTCCAGCGCCGGGCAAACCACTCGCGCAGCTCCTGCGGAGAGAGTGGCTACCGCCTCGACGAAGCACCGCGAGAGGCCACACAAGCAGACCCAGCACCCCCAGGCTCCGCACCCCCAGACTCAGCACCCCCAGACTCAGCACCCCCAGACTCAGCACCCCCAGGCTCAGCCCCCCCAGGCTCCGAACCCCTGGACTCAGCACCCCCAGGCTCCGCACCGTCAGGCTCAGCACCTCCAGACCCGGCACCCGCAGGCTCAGCACCTCTAGCAGCACCAGAGTCAACAGTTACCTCTACAGGCTTGACTGCGTCTACCTGGGACACACCTGACGGGGCAGGACCCTGAGGGGGGACGGGGTCTACTCGGGGAGGACCTGGCGCAAGGAAGAGCGGCGGCGGGGGGAGGGGCGCAGTGCGGTAGGGGAAGAGACGGTTGTAAGGCACCGACTCGTCCCTCGACGCCGGGGGCGCGCTGTCGCCCCTCGACGCAGGGGACGCAGGTAGGGGCAGGCCCCTGAGGTAGGGGAGGAAGAGACCGGGGGAGACCAGAGACAACGACACGGAAGGCCATGCCTCGGAGACGAGGCAGGGAGGGGTGACCAAGGCAGTGGTGCCAAAGGAGAGTCTACTGGGACAGGAGACGACACGAGCAGGGAGCAGACTCAGGACCAGACCTGGACGCTGCACCAAACACCTTACTCGACGCAGCTACCTGACCAAACTCAGCAGCCGGAGGAGACTCAGTAGTAAGTGTGTACAGGCTCGACCCCGGCCGACGGGTGAATGTGGCCAAGTGTCGGCCTGTCCAACCACACATGCAGTGGGTCACCCGCTGACTCGAAGGAGTGAACTTGTCAACCCCCCTATCCCGTAGATCAGCTCCACTCACCAAGTTCGTAGAGAACGAGGGGAGGTAGACCTGACAGGGTGCCAGAGGGGGCTGCCGGGCACGGTAAGACAGTGGAGAAGCTAGCAAGGACAGGACCCCCAGAGGGGTCCGCCAGGGAGACTGCAACCAGCCGACTAAGCGGCGTAAGTGTGGAGCGGTCTCGAAAGAAGGAGCGGGAAGCAACCGAGTCAAGGGTGAAGGTGTGTAGGGCCTGAGCCGACGTAGTACCTCAGAGAGCAGACTCAGCAGCACCTGGGGCAGCATACGTACTAGCACCTAGAGCAGCAGCCTCACCAGCACCTAGAGCAGCAGCCTCAGTGCCCGGGTCAGGCAGAACACACAGGTAACAGTCACCCTCAACACTATCAGACACAGCTTACAATCAGATACAGCAAGAATAGCATCATAATCAAGATCAAAGATAGCGACCCCCGCCCTAGACAGCTCTCCCCAGCGAGGGATCTCAGAGGCGTCAGGGAACTGGTGTCGCCATGCGTCCGTCAGGCGGCTGAAGCAGCGCTGGGTGGAGTGCGGGCCCCCGCACTGCTCACCAGCGCGGTCGCCGGTACGGAGGACGTAGGTGAAGGGACCAGTACCCCCACCTCACTGACGCGCAGCGTACCACTCACGAAGCTGCTGAGGGGACAGGGTCTCACAACTGCGCTGCTACTGCTGGCGCGGATCACCACCGGACCCACTCCTCTGCGCAGAGCCGTGACCAGCTCCACCGCTGCCGCCGCCTCCTCCGCCACCTCCGCCGCCTCCGCCACCTCCGCCGCCTCCGCCACCTCCGCCGCCTCTGCTCCCTCCGCCACCGCCGCCGCCTCCTCCGCCTCCACTCCTGCCACCGACACCTCCACCCCCGCCACCACTCCCACCACCACCCCCACCCCCTCCACTGCCTCCACCACCACCTCCACCGCCCCCGCCAGCCCCTCCAGCGCCCTTGCCCCCCTTGCCCTTGCCAGTGCGGAGTCTCCCGCTAGGGGTAGACGCAGCGCCGACCGACTCGAAACCAACGAGATCGGCCGCAGCAACAGAAGCAACAGAGGGCAAGAGGGGGGAAGGGGAACACCCCTCAAAGACGGGGGTGCGAGGGTCACCACGAGAGGCTCCTACAGCGACTATGCTCTTCTTTATTGCTAGGAGGCGCTCCTCGAGGAGGTCAACAGTGAGTGTGGTGGGGCAAACTAAGAGGAAGTGGTCCCTGACTAAGCGAAGGGAGTCAGGGAGCCGGGTGACTATGTAGTAGAGGGTGATGTACATGGGGGTGGGGTTCTTGGCAGAGAACTCAGCAGGAAGCGCAGCGCGGTAGCGAGTGTCACTAGTGCGAAGGTGCGTAATGAGGTCAGCGACTGTGGGAAAGGCAGCAAGGTCAGGGAAGAGGTATGGTAGCATGAGGCGGCTCAGTGCAGCAGTGGCAAGGGAAGAGTAGCGTGCAACTACAGCGTCGTACAAGGTCTTAGCACTCTTGTACTGGCTAAAGTGTGCACGCTCAGTGGTCGGTAAGTGACGACGCACAGCAAGACGGGCAGCAGCATCGCGTGTGGTCCACTGTGAGCGAACAATGCTATCAGTAGTAGCAGGCGGGGCAGGAGAGGCACCAGAGGTGAGATCGAACAGGGAGAGTCCGTCTGCCCTGTCGCACTGTAGGAACAGCTGGAGGTCATCGACCCAGACCTCAATGTCAACAGCACGACCCTCAGCATCAAAGGTAAGGACACCGGGGGTAGCCGTGACTGCAGTGGCCTAGCAGGGAGTGATCTCACCAGTCCGAGTAAGTAGGGCCGGGGCGCGCCGGTAGGAACAGTAGCGGCTCGACTGCAGGGCGGCTCGGCGGCTCGGCTGCTGGGCGGTTCGGCGGCTCGGCGGCTCGGTTGCTGGGCGGCTCTGCTACTGGGCGGCTCGGCTGTCGGGCGGCTCGGTTGCTGGGTGGCTCGGCGGCTCGACGGCTCGGCTGCTGGGCGGCTCGGCGGCTCGGCTGTTGGGTGGCTCAGTTGCTGGGCGGCTCGGAGAGGCGGCGACGGGGCTGGTAGAGGCGGCGACGGGGCCGCCAGAGGCGGCGATGGGGCCGCTAGGGGCGGCGACGGGGCCGCGTAGGGAGGAGAGCAGCAACGGGGCCGCTAGGAGCGGCTACGGGGCCGTGTTGGGGCTGCGACGGGGCTGCGTAGGGGCGGTGATGAGGCCGCGTAGTGGCGGCGGCGGGTCCGCGTAGGGAGGGGAGTGGTGACAGGGCCGCTAGGGGCGGCGACGAGGCCGCGTAGGGGCGGCGACGAGGCCGCGTAGTGGCGGCGACGGGGCCGCGTAGGAAGGGGAGCGGCGACAGGGCCGATAGGGGCGGCGACGGGGCCGCTAGGGGCGGCGACGGGGCCGCGTAGGGGCGGCGACGGGGCCACTAGGGGCGGCGACGGGGCCGCGTAGGGGCGGCGACGGGGCCGCGTAGGGGCGGCGACGGGGCCACGTAGGGAGAGAGGCGGCGACGGGGCCGCTAGGGGCGGCGATGGGGCCGCTAGGGGCGGCGACGGGGCCGCGTAGGGGCAGCGACGAGGCCGCTAGGGGCAGCGAGGGGCCTAGAAGGGCGGCGAACAAGGCGCGCCTCGGGCAGGAGCGACTGACGCTCAGGTCAGAAAAAAAGTTTCAGTGGTGGGCCCAAGGAAGCATTCCCACTGGGGAACCTGCTCTATACCATGTGAAGAAATGAGGAATGAGTGAACTAGCACAAGGTTGGGTACAAGTAGGAAACCCTAGGAAATTGTACCCCATAGTGTCTACCCCACTATAGCCTAGACAAGCTATATGATATAAGTTTGACACACACACCAAGTCAACTTGGCGCTGATGAATGCTTCTGATCAGCCACGACAACCTCGGGATACCACCACCGAGGTCGGGCTCGCCAACTTCACCTGGGCGACCGTCGCACTCCTCCGCAGAACCTCGTCACCCAGGTAACCTGGTCGACCGGGCAACCACGTCGACCAGCTGCTCCCGTACGTGCCCGTCGACCCCCCAAGTCGTCAGCCACCTCCAAGTCGACCTCACCAGGTCGACCACGCCCCTGGTTGACCAGCTCCAGGTCGACGTCACTTCTGGTTGACCAGCTCCACGTCGACCAGCAGTCCTGGTCGACCAGCTTTATGTCGACCAGCGCAGTTGTCGGCCGACCACCCAAGTCGGCTACTCGAAGTCGGCGTCACGAAGTTGACGCCCAGCTACTCGACGCCCAACTGCTCGGCGTCCTGAGTCGAGGTCAATGTCGGCCCCTCCTTCGTCGACCACCAGGTCAGGTCGACCACCAGCAGGTCGACCAGCAGGCCTGGTCGACCAACCACCAGGTCGACCAGTAGTCCGTCAGCCGACCACCGAAGTCGGCTTCTCCAAGTTGATGTCACCTAGTTGACATCCACCGCAGGTCGACTTCCCAAGTCAACCTCCCTGAACTCGGCGCCCGTACAGTGGTCTCCATGCAGGTCGACCTCCTCGTCAACCAGCTCGCCCACTGCTGCAGGTCGGCTTCTCTCCTCACACCCGACCATGGAGTCAGCTCCGCCCAAGCGAGGACGGGGCCAACATACAACTCCCGTTGACACATGTTCGTCCATGAAAAAGACATGAACGTACATGAGCCGACATGAACGAACATGACTCGTCATGATCCGTCATGACTGATCATGATCCCACAGCAACAGCACATGAAACGAAATGCAAAAACGAATGCACACAGAACACACACAAAATGCATAACGTCATGCAGGCGGCTGGTTGTAGTGCAAAAATAATATTTTGCACCCAACAATTTTACCCTGATATTTTGTGTCCTGATTGGTAGTGGAAGTCCTTGTGGTAGTGGGAACCTTGTGCATTGTGAATGTAGATGAAAAGATTGATTCAATGATGAAATCACACACAATATAGATCTAACTAGCCATGTACTCTGACGTGTACATTCCCTTAAAAAAAAATACTCGTAGTTCAACAGTGACTCCAAGTATAGCTCTTCTCTTGTTATCGAGTCGTTGCGTGTAACTGTATGAACAGTTACGCTTGTTGCCATTCTTCGTTGGTGAGTTGTTCGGTCCAGACGGTCAACAGTTGCGACAGTTGACTTACGGCAGCGACTATTGACATTCATGCCCTTGTACGGGCTAATCTACTATGCTACTGCTATTGATGCTTTGATAGTGGCGGTTGCGATACAGCTGCACCTACGGGAATGCTGAAGTCAATTTCCTCCTTACTCCAACATACATTATCATGGTAGAGTAAGGATCTTTGAATAGGGTAGGAATGCTTAGTAGAGTTTGGTAGCGGAAGTCTTTGTTGTAGGAATTCTGATCATAGTGAATGTAAATGACAAAGTTGATTAAAACAGAGGCTACACACATAATAAATAGTTCTAACTAGCCATGTACTTGTCAGAATGTTATCTTATGCTCTAGCCTGTAGTGGGGTGCTCTATAACAAGTACAACCCTTCTAGGGTTTGCTATTTGTATCCCCATTCTTGCTAGTGCAACCCTCTTCTCTTTTCTAAACTTTAACATGCTATCAGAGCAGGTCGATCCCATTGGATCGATCCTGTGGGTGGGTTACCACCTCCTCGCTTCCGCTGCAACTTTTTCTTCCCGCCGTGCGCCCCGAGGCGCGCGGCGGTTTTCTGCCCGTCGTGCGCCCCGAGGCGCGCGACGGTTTTCTGCCCATCGTGCGCCCCGAGGCGCGCGGCGGTTCTCTGCCCGCTGTGCGCCCCGAGGCGCGCGGCGGGCTTCTGCCCCGTCGTTCGCCGCGTCGCCCTCTGGTGGCGCCGCGACGGGCGACGGGGACCCGTCGCGGCCCCGCCGACCCACTTCGCGGCCCCGCTGCCCCGTTTCGCGGCCCCGCCACCCTACGTTCGCGGCCCCGCCGCCCCACTTCAGGGCCCCGCCGCCCCAACTTCGCGGCCCGGCCGCCCTACACCTGCGGCCCCGCCGCCCTACTTGCGCCCCGACCCCTTTTCCCGTCGCCCGTCGCGGCTCCCTCGGGGGCCGCTTCCTGGGGGAAGGGGGCGAGCGCCGCCATCCCACCCTGCCTACCCGCCATCCCACCCTGCCTGTGTTAGGGTTTGGGGGTGGCAAGTAGGGGGTGGCGCGTATGGGGGTGGCACTTCTTCATTCCTCCCTTTGCTCCTCCTCCTCCTTCGTCTCCCACTGCTGCAGCTGTCGCTGAGGGGGGTGGATGTGTGGGAGACTGGGGTTTAAGGTTTAAGGGGGGTGCGTGGGAGTGGAGCTAGCGGTGTAGCAGCGCGTGTGTGCCAGAGGGAGTGGGATAGTTTGGGGAAGCTGCATGGAGGTTGCCGTCGTGTCGCCAGCAGCACCTGTATTCCGGGGACTTCGCCCGGTAGCCCAGTCGTAGCCAGCTGTGCCAGCCGCCCGTGGGTCCGTTGCTCGTCTGCCGCTACTTTAGCCGCGGGGCCAGTTACTCCAGTATTCCGGGGGCTTCGCCCGGTAGCCGCTGTGCCAGTCTGCCTCCTGTTGCCCGTGTGTCTGCAGCTTCAGCCGTCGCCTCCTATCTCCTCTCCTCTCACTCTCTCTCCTCCTCCTCACTTGCCCGTTGTGACTACCACTAGCTTTGCTCATAATTGTGAACTTAAACTATTGCTTCTTGAACTTGTGCTCAGAATGTGTGGTGACATTGTGATCCACCCTGAGCTTGTATTGCTTTGCTTGCTCTGGTGATTACACCCCACTTTGGCTATGGGGGTGTGTCAGAATGTTATCTTATGCTCTAGCCTGTAGTGGGGTGCTCTATAGCGAGTACAACCCTTCTAGGGTTTGCTATTTGTATCCCCATTCTTGCTAGTGCAACCCTCTTCTCTTTTCTAAACTTTAACAGTACTCTGAGGGGTACATTCCCTCATTCTAACTGCTTTACAGGCATTTCTACAGATTTCGGGTACGTAAAACCGGTTCTGTGTTTTTCACTCCCCCTCGATTTCGGTTTTCGAACACGCAACGTTAGGCATGGAGGGTTAAGGCGACAACTACGCGACGACAAACGACATCGCCAGCCTTTGCACCGACGTGGAACAGACTCAGGCGGCGATTCGGCGAATCGAGGCCCTTCTGACAAAACAATCCGCAGCCGCCACCGCAGGAGTCAATGCAGCAGCGAACGTAGCAATGACAGCAGCAGCAGCGGCAGCGACACGGACATTTCACGGACCGATGGCACCACCTTCGCTGAACCTCGAAGCAGTTCGCCCGAGGCTCCCCGAAGCATTCGATCCAAGCGCGAAGGGATCGGACTTTCGATGATTCGTGGCGACCCTCGAAATTTACTTCGAGGCCATTGGCTATTCGACCCCGACACACGATGCAGCACGAATTCGGCTAGCAGCGACACTGTTGCGGGGACCAGCACTCG